TGTTATCTCAGATTCTCCAGCATCTGCAGTTCCTACTATCTCTGAAACACTTATTTACGTAGGTCTTTGAATCCAGAGCTCAACTCGATTTCATTTACCTTGTATTTTGATGGCAGCGATGTCGAACTTTTCATCACAAACAAAAATGTTCAATGCGCCCAGTTCAACAGAAAACTTCAGGTCAAACACATCAACAGCTGTATCTAGAGAGACTAAATGAAAAAATATTAGTTTAGTTTAGTCAGTAATGTGAAAAGAACACAACACAACCAAAAGCAATTGTTACAAATCATAACAAACTTGCTTGCACTGCTTTTGCCTGTTCGAATGGTAAATCTACCAACTTTAACCATATTCCAAAAATTTTACATTTACATAATGCCTTCAATGTAGCTAGTCATTTCAAGGTGCTTCAGAGATATATCAGATAAGATTTGACACTAAATGGCAGAGAAATGACTAAAAGTTCGTCCAAGCCTTCAGACTTTTTTTTGAGTGTCTTAAAACATGGGATTCAAATTTAAGATAATTAAAAAATAGCCAATGAAAATATGCTATTTTATTATTACCAGTAAAACGAGGAGAAGTTATGGCAGTGAGGTAGGATAGGTAGGTGGTGGACAATATAGGAGCAAAATGACAAAACTTGAGGTCCCCCCATCATGGCTTTCAATCTTCAGAAATTGCTGTTTAAGACACATCACCATGGAGAAGCAATGAGCAGATAACCAACACTTCTCAAACATTTTTGGTGGAGAGAGAAACATCCAGTGTACATGCTTTGGAAAAGCACCAACCATACTTCCGCAAGTCATTCACTTGCAGATAATGTGCAGTACTGCATAGCCAAAGAGGGAAAAACGAAAAGAATCTTTTCCTCTTAACTATTTGCATAAAAATGCAATAAGTATTAGCCAACTTTGCTGAAGCTGTATCACAATTACATCCGTAACTTTGTCCCATCGGATGCTGACTGAAAGAGTTCATCGCTCCACAATTGCCAGCAGTATGCATGATACAGACCAAGATTTGTGAAGTATGTGTCAAAGATGAATCACATGTCATACTAGATGATGTTACCACATGACTCGTCTAAACATGAGCCTAAAGATAATTTAATCTATACCTCAAACAAAATTCTTAATACAGGAAGAGATTGAGTAGCAACAAAACAGAGTTTAACAATTTGGCTTACAATCCACTGTGGATTTCTACTGTTTGCAGCAGCAAAAAGGCTAATTTATAGTTCACTACATAAAGCAAGCTGATCACATCTTTCTCGAAGCAATTTATGCAGTGTTTACTGTTGCTTCATACGTGCAGAAATAATGCAGAATACCAACCAAATGTTTATCAAAAACGTAGATGAACCCTTAATGCACTATTCAGCTTCCCTCTTTTCTAACCTACCTGCTTTTGTCACAGTCTCCTTTTCATGGTCTGTGCTCGATTTTCTTCCACGCTCATTATCAGGATTAGTTGATGGGAATACAGCTGATATAAAGTTCATGGTCGAAAGTAAGGCTTGCAAATGCAGGATCAGGTCAAGAGAAGAAAAGGCAACCTGATGTCAAAACAAGGAGTTTCATTATTCCACCTGATGGATAATCTCACTGTAGTACAAATATGAAGAAAAACTAAAATGCAACACTGAAGTAGCAACACTTAAAAATAAGCTTGGATGGTACATAGAAAATAGTCCAAATTTGCATTACATGGAAAATATTGTTGTAGAATTGGTAGCGGAAGCCCAGGAAATGTTGGCTGTATATAAGAGTGACAAGATGTCGCACAGGCACAGATAAGAAAAGATTAACCTGGTTCCTATGTGTATTTGTATGCTAGAATCCCGAAGTCTACAATCAAGTTAAATAGGTCAAATACAACTTCCAGCATTTTGAAATAACTCTCCAATAAAGAAAATAATCGGAAACATTCTGCAACCTTTCCAAACAAATTCATTAAGAAGCTCCCAAGGAGAAAAGCAACACAGTCATAAATCACAGAATTCTCAGTGTGGAAGCAGGCCATTCAGATCATTCAGTCCACACCAACCCCCCGAACAGCATCGCACCCAAACCCATCCCTCTATCCTATCCCTGTAACCCTGCATTTCCCATGGCTAATCCACCTAATTTACACATCGCTGGCAATTTAGCATGGCCAATCCACCTAACCTGCTTATCTTTGGACTGTGGGAGGAAACCCATGCAGACAGAGGGAGAACGTGGAAACTCCACACAATCGCCCAAGGTTGGAATCGAACCCAGGTCCCTGACAGTATGAGGCACCAGGGCTAACTGCTGAGACATCATGCTGCCCCAAAGTCAAAGTATTCAAATTTAAAGAGAATGTAGTACCAGCCAAAATTCTTAATTACATCTACTTCCTTTAAATATGTGAATACTATTCAAGAAAACAGAGGAGCAGGGAACTGGGGGGAATGATCACAAACTGCATGAAAACCCCATTATATAGGAAAAGAATAACAGTTAAGAAAATTTTCTCAGGAACAGCTGAAAGTTGGTTGAGGTGTACAACAGATTTCTACTCTAGATCACTTTTATTCATTGTGTGCATCAATGATGTGGATCCAGGATCATAGAAAAGAGTATCAAGGTTGTAGTTGATACTAACAGAAGCCAGAATTAAGAATTCCAGTGGAAGGAATAAAATGATGGGATGGGTAAAAAGACAACAGATGGAATTTAACGTTAGCACATTTGGATAATATAAAGTAGCAAGAATTCTCATTCGAGCAGGGAGGCTGAGTGTTGTACATAAGCAGAGGAATCTGGCAGTTGAGACTCACAAGACAAATGACCCAGTGGATAAAAACATTAAAATGGTAGCCAATTGGGTTCATGGCTGTTTTCAAAAATACAAAAGGGAAGTTTGAACCTATATAAAACATAGCTGAAGGACTGTGTGCAGCATTGGCTACATATTGTGAGCATCTTGAAAAGTGAGATATAAATGGAGTACAAAGAGAATTAAAATGTCATCTAATCTTGGGTTCCTGTAGCAATATATATCACCAGTAACCAGCTCACATAGTATCCATGAATGTAATAGAAATTAAATTCTAATTTTATTCAAATTTAGAGAATTTATGGAAGTGATCAGTTATTATTCCACAACAAACTGTTTTGAGACACTACAAAGATAATGACAAACAAACATAATTTTTGAAAAAATCCAAATGATGAAGCAGGAAATAAACAACTTGCAACTGGTGTAAACTCAATGTTTATTTATTCCAGGATCAAATGATGTAAGTGAAATTTCTGAACAAAACCGCCAACAAAATCTCTATGATGGAAAAGTAATATCAGAATGCTCATTCTGGTGCTCCTGGCAGAACAATTTCCATGTTCAAAATACTGCTCACAGGGCAAGCTTAAGGGAAATAAATTTCCTAAGATGCTTCAGAAATAGTTGGGAGAAAATAGATGGGAGAAAATAAATAAAGAGCAATAAAGGGAAAGGTGACCAGGATTTCCAAGTGTTTTTACAGAGCTAGAGCGAAGAAGGGAATTTCAAAGAGTAGCCTGAAGGCAGTTGAAAATTTCTGTAAGAAAATAGGAGAAGAAATGCCAAGATCAGAGGAAAGAGGTACTCAAGAGGAAAATATGCAGAAGTGCAGGAAATGAAGAAACAAATCTGAATTTAATGCATGGCAGATATGGAGTCAACATCAGTCACCAAGACAGGAGTAATGAGAGAACAGAATCTGCGTGGGCATACTCTATGGAGCAGAGTTTTGGAAAAATTGGAATTTATGAAGGACTGAAAATGACAAAAGTAACGGGATTTCAATTCAGAATGAAGGTTAGAAAAATTAGAATTATCATTCCTACAGCAGAAGCTCTGAGCACAATCAGTAGTTTCATTCCCAGCATCCGAGGATTAACATGCTCAACAAGTTAACACTCCAATCACAGCTACAGAGCACCTTTGGATTGGGAGGACATCTCATACGGAAACCTACAGAACAATCTGCAAAGAATTCATTAGTACAGGGGATGCAGGAGGGAGTGAGCAGCTAAAAGGTACAATGATTTAACAAGTAAACCACAAAACAAGTGAACCTAGCTACAGCATAACCGGCAGGAAGATTAATGAAAAGTTATGGCGCCAATATATTTTGACTATATCAGACACTACTTACTGTGAGCTTCTGCTCAGTACTGTCATAACTACTTTTGAAATGTGGTCCATTTCTATCCGCCTGTGAACAAAAATTATTGATGTCACACACATATCAACTCAAATGAAAAAAAATACCATGCTAACTCTTCGAAAGAGATATTCAATTAGTTCTAGCCTTCATATCACAGTCAACATTACAATTTACAAAGCTTTCTTCTCATGCATTAATTTTCCCAATATACAAGAGGAAGTTTTTTTTTTAATGCCCATTGTCCTATTAATCCCTTGGTAATACTACTCAGGATGATGCGTCAGTGTGTGAGCACTTGAAATTTTCATTGCTTCAGGAATCAGTTTATTACTGAGGTTTCATAATAATAGGACAGTCCATCTTTAATGCAAGCACAAAATATAAAGAGAACAGAAACATGAGGGTATACATGCATAAATTACTGTAAGTCACTGGACAGGTTGACAACATATTGAATAATACACAAGGTACCCTATGCGGTAATAGTAGGGATATAGCACAGAAGTAAAGTTATATTAAACAATACGAAACACTGGTTTAACCTTAAATGGAGTGTTGCATCCACTTCTGGGTACTGCACTTTAGTAAGGATGCAAATGCATCAGCAAGGGTGCAGAGAAAAGAACAAGAATGGTCCCCAGGACGAGGAACTTCATTCATTTGGATGGACTGGAGAAACTTGTGCGACTATTCTCGTTTGAAAACATAAGTTTGAGTGAAGATTTGATAAAGATATTCAAAATCATAAAGGGATCTAGACAGAATGGATCGGGAGAAACTGTCACCATGTTGGGAAGGGTAGGTTATCACAGGGCACTTGGTGAAAGCAGCAATGGCAATCTAGGGCAAAACTTACTTATGCAACAAGTGATTCAGATCAGGAACAAACTGCTTAGAAGTCCATTAGAGCCAGATTCAATCCAGGGATTCAAAATAGAATTGGATCATTATCTGCAAAGAAACAACTTACAGGGACACGGGCTAATGACAGTCGTGGCAGTTGGTGAATTGCTCATACAATGGGCCAACACTGAAAATGGCCTCTCATCTGTGAAGTCCACAGCCTGTTCAGGATGCGTTCAACCAACAACTTGGTTGCTAAGATCTACACCAGCATGTTATCAATCTTGATTTCCCTATGGTGTGGTCCAAAAGAAAAACTTATCACAATTTGTAAAATTCATATACCAACTCTACCGAGGCATGGGGGTAGTTTTCAGGAGGGGCAAAAGAAAAGACATCTTAACCATCAGCAATGTGACACAATGACCCTGCATACCACTGTAAAGCAAAAGCATCTTTGGGTAGGAAACCAATACATTTTGGAGAGTGTCATTAAATGCTCCCTTCTAAGTTGGGGAGACCTTGTTCTCGATTTTCACATCTATCACTTCAGCAAAATGTTTTGCTAACTCGTGCTTTGATATTTCATATATTCTACAAAATTTATTTCTAGTTCTGTAAAACAGAAATAGCTTTCTTTTCAGGGTAGTTACAGCAACAGTTAACATTTCTCCCACAGGGACGATGCCAAAAAAAGTAAAAAAAAAAAAAAAAAAAATGGACTTGTGTTTTCTGTGACAGCAAGTCTTCAATAAAATGGTACTGATGATAGTAAACTATCTAGTACTAACCAGTTTTCCATCTGCTCAAAACAACATATGGCCCTTTGGTAAACAGGGCTTTCCTCATCAGTAGGTCTGATTGTATACCATGAAAATTAAATTAGACCCACAATTATTGGACTCGACAAACAAATACATCCTTCTGTTTGGACTCTCGCATTTCCTCTGCGACAGGTTTTCTTCAGGGTGGACTAACTATGGAGTATGCCGTTGGGATATCATAGCAAGGCTGCAGAAAATCTGGGCTGGCCTAGATTCTTCACTGGTTGGGAGGTCCAATCACTCCAGAACGAAAGAAACCATAGTATTTATTCTTTCTTCCAGTATCATCAGTCTTGCTCAGAACATAAACTCTTCCACAATACGTGCTAGCCAATTCAAAGATGCAACATCAGGAAGAACTTGAAGCTGAAGAATACCATGTCATTCCACTTCCCATAAATGATGCAACTCAGCCAGTAAAGTTGGCAACTTAGCCCTGGAAAAGAAAGCCTCTAGATTCCTACCTACAGATTCACCAACAAGTGCAAAATATCTGAAGTTCTCAAAACAAACCTCAAGAAAATGCAACTGGACTCGAAAATCAGCAGCTCCTGATCTCTGATTCTCCAGGCTAATTCCCAGCTGCAAGAAGGCTGGGGTTTTGCAATAAGAGGTCCAAGAAGTGAGAAGGCATAGCTATGACACAATATTAAGTTTAGCATGGCAATGGGAAACCTCAACAACTACTTATGCACCACAATCTTCCAATAACCTATTTAGCTAAGCCAAGCATGTTATAACATTCTGAAAAAGCATCACCGAACTTGAAACATTAATTCTATTTTCCCTCCACAGATGCTGCCAGACAGACTCAATTTCTCCAGGAATTTCTGTTTTTGTAGCTTATACTGGGCTCACTCAGCAATTGGTATAAGAAAGACTTGAGGATCACTGTCATATTGAAGCAGTCTACAGCTGGCTGTGAAATGGGTTGACTTTTAAATGTCATTCTTCTGAAGTGTTGTGTAGCTTAAAACTCTACCTTAATATACTGTACTTTCAGAAGATCAGATCCAGGCTCATCTGAAGAACTGATCAAATTAAGCGGTTTGCTATTTGAATCTGCAACAAAATAGGTAGCAGTGAGTTTTGAACTAGGAATACCAAGCTACGTTTCAGTAGGTTGGATTTTAATAACTATAAATACTTGCCAATAAACAGAACATAACAATAGATGTAATATGAAGAGTAGAAATGCTCAAACAGCCCAAAATGTAATTTTGAAAATATAGTGAAAAATTTCTCTCAAAACATGCAAAATACTAAACACCAAAAATTGCAGAATTTTATTCTGAACTATTTGTTTTCTTCACTTTCACTCATAAGATCATAACTCAAAATTGAAATTAGACATTCATTTAAAAACCAATGAAACAGTCCAAGAATAGGATGTCAGAAGAAATTCTATTAGAGCAATAAAGCATTCTTACTTAGAAAGTCTTGCAGAGTATTAGGGATAAATGCAAGAGAAGAAACAGTTATTGTAAATCAATCAGCACCCTCTTCTCATGTCGGCTGAATTATTGCATCCTTTGAGATTTAGTATTCTTGTGATTCTGTCCCGATAAGTGCAAGATACCTCTCTTTTTTTGTTTGATTTAATGGTTTATTCTGTCATGAAAAGTAGGTGAAATGGCTCTTATTTTGTATTCTGAAATGACCCTAGAATTGCAGAATCCCTATCAACTACCCAGAACAGTAAATACATTCATTTTCACCCAGGCCTTGCTATCAGAGATTATATTTTGTACAAGGACATGTTTTTGTTCAAAACAAAACAGGGATTTGCCATGTAAACTGCACTGGCCATGAGTGAGCCACATTGTAATGAAGATGCTTCATCACTAACGTAACTTCCAGAAACAGCTTTGGTGTTGTTAGATTCACCATTGCTGGAAATTTAATTTGATCTATGCAAGAATAATACCTCTGACTTCCAGGCTAGTCTTGACGATTATTGCTGAAACATTGCTTATGCCTTATAGCTCTGGGTGGTTCAACAGGGATTTTGTATTTCTTAGGTCATTTCAGAATGCGTAAAATGTAGCACTCCAGCCACGTAATAAAACTGCATTATTTGCAATCACAATACAAGCATTATTTGCTAAAAGCGCAAAGCCAAAGCTGAACTCAGTTCATTAATAAACACAAACAACTACTTTAAGTTTTGAAATTATTTTTACAATAAAATAAACTGCTGCATGTAGAAATGATTTCCATAAAGTACACTGCGAAAGGTGACACAGTGACAAAAGCTTCCAAAAAATATTTTGCCACATAACTCAATCAGGGCTGTTTCTCCAGAATTTTCTGGCAACATATAGCTCTTCATATGAAATATAGCTCAAAACACCAAATAAATATTTGTAATAAGATGATATTTTACTAACAATGTTTGATAAAGATGTAAATACTTATGAAGCAAGGTTTATTATACAATTAAAGTGAAAATTTCTAGGTCCTTTTTTTGAAAAAAACTGCAATGTTAAACAGGCTGTCAGCAAGGTAGCAAATGTTAGCACCAATGAAGATGGTCACAAATACATCAATTAATACTGGGAATGAACTGAAATAGTACATCAAGATAGACAACTGTCAACAACACTGAACTTAATCATATTCAACACATGGGCAATTTTGGAAAATATTGAACTAATAAAATGCTAGAACTCATAGCAGAAGAGTACAATTCAAGTACATAAAGCTAGTCATCAATAAATCCAATAAGGAATGCAGAAAAATCTTCTTTACTTAGATTAGTGACAATATGAAACTTGCCTCTATATGGGGTGAGTGACATGCATTCAATAAGAAAGCTGATACTTTTATCGGGCTTAAAGGAATAGAAGGCTATTCTGGTACAGTGAGACACAGGAAAGTGGGAGAAGGTTTCTGTGATGTATAAATGTTGGGCCAAATGGTCCATTTTAGTGCTGTAAATATTCTAGGCAAGGCCAAATTTTTATCATGTATCACTCACAGCACAATGGCACACTGAGTTCAGCAGTGCGCCAAGGACACTGTAGCATATTCAAAAAGGCCAACAGTTTGAACATAAAGACTTTGGAGATTAGAAAATGCCAAGCATTGCCTTAAGTGAAAAGGGTGAACTCTTGTACGTAAAATATTATAATGAATGGTTTTGGTAAGCAAGCTCAAGAATCAATATTATCACAAATTCCATTCCAATAGAGTGATAAATGCTTCAGATAATGTGCCCAACTGACTACCAGAACAAAGACAGGCTGTGTGTTTGAAATAAATATGGACACTACAATGGGAAAGTTGAGATGTGCTTCAATAGGATCAGTGACATTTTCTCACCCTCAGCTCTGTTACTTTTTAAGAAATCTTAAAACTTATTTACCTGTAAATTCACAGCAGTTCAAAGCAATTTTCCTCAAGTAGGCTGTTGCACTCAAATCATACTTTCTTACTTTGGTTTCAGTTCCCAATTGCACCACATGGAACATGAGAAATGAGCTCTTCTGCTTGTTAATCTGTTTTGTTAATTCTATTACAACCTGAAATTACAACAGAACATACAAAATAGACACAACAAGAAGTAGGAGTATTTAATTTGAATTATTCCCCTTACATTACTACATTTGATTGTTAAGGGTAATCCGGTTAATACTTGCTTCTAAAAGATCACAGTCTTCAACGTTTCTTGCCTTATCCTACTTACTTTGCAGGATAAAGCTGCGGATATAACCAGTCAATGTGAATGTTGATTGCTCTGTTCAGAAAACATTAGGATAAGCCAGCTGATGGCAGTATTACACAGCCAAATTGTAGTCTCAAGAGTGGGAACAAATGACATATCTAAACAATTAAAACCAAGAATCCTCTGCATATTTATAAGTGACAGCTTCTAATGTTGTTGATTCTTCAGATCAATCATACAGGCCAATCCAATCCAAAAATGAATTCACATTACACCAGATATCAACTTGCTCATGACAAAAAAAAATTGTCTACTTTTTTTTTTAGAAACAGCATATAATCAAGGCTGTGATACTTCAATGCAGTCATGACAGACTGCAACATTATTTGGAGGTGCCATTTTGGATCAGACACCATGCCGAGGCCATCTTTGCCCGTTTAGACAACCGCAAAAGACGTCTCAGCTTTATTCCTAAGAAAAGCCAGCCCTAACCTTTCCTCTCGGCAGAAAGAATAGGATAATAGTAGGCTTTTTGAATGGGGAGGCCGCAGAAGTCAGTGGTAAAGAGGGATTTTGGGGGTCCTGGTACACGAATCATGAAAAGTTAGTATGCAGATCCAGCAAGTGATTAAGACAATTGCAATGCTGATAATTATTCTGTCAGGACCAAAGCTGGAGAAGTGCATTGTGTTTCTCTACTCCACTGACCGCAACATAGATTAATAGTTTTACTGATCACCGATACAGCCAATTATATACTTTACCTACACAAGGTTCACTTCTTAATTAAACAATATTACTGCTTTATTATAATTACAAGACTTAATCCACAAAGATACCCAACTAACAGCCTGAATTTTGAAAGTTTAAATATTCACCCTTCTAAATAATTGTGTTGGGGATAAAAAGTGAGGAAATTTTCTCTGCAGAGATTAGGAAAACCATTTTGGCAAAGTTGCTGTTAATTCTCAGACAGTAAAAAGGTAAGTTATGAAAAGGTTCCAGACTGCTTTCAGTGGGATACCTTTGTACGTGTGGACAGGTCAATATATGCAGATGATTAACCCTTTGGAATCTTTTCACAGACAATTCATTGAAGATGTCAAGGTGAAGTCTCCTGGAAACCTTACAGGGAAAATAGCTGTTTCACCTTTCCAGTTCTTAAATAATTCTCAAGAGGCTTTTCTTGCAAAGTGACAAAGGCTGAGCTGGAGGCTTTATCTCTTCTCTGGCAACTCCCTCATCGACTTCCAAAACACTATCAAACAGCCATAAACCCAGGCATGAGTTCCAGCTCAACCAGTTAGCTGAAGTCACATCTTCCAGTAAATCCAAGCAGTTAACCGAAAAGCACATACCTCTTTTTAAAAAAAATGTTCTAGTGTCCCTTCAGTGTCTTTTTAAAAATAAAACAACAGGTCTAATATCACCTCAGCACCTCACATGAATCAATTTCTCAAATCTTCAGGCATTAGTCTGCAAATAGTTCCAATAATGGAGGCACCTTCATAACAGCTGGCAGAAGAATATAAAAGTAGGGAACTTTTAATGCAGCTGTAAAAAGGTCTTTGAGAGGTCACACATGGAGTAGGAGTTTGGTTCTGGAGTTTTCGTTTCCTTATTTGAAAAAAATATGGAATTTCAGTGGAAGTCCTTTAGAAAATTCACTCAACTTACTGCCGAGATGAAGGGCTTCTCTTATGCAGAAAGATTGACCAGGTTCAGCCTATACTCTATGGAGTTTAGAAAAATGAGAGGTAATCTTATGAATCTTTTGAAAGTAAAGTCATTTAGAAAGTAAGGAGGCATGGGATTCAAGGAAATTTGGCTGTCTGGATACAAAACTGGCTGTCCAACAGAACACAGTGGTTGTAGATGGAAAGTATTCAGCCTGGAGCTCGGTGACCAGTGGTGTGTCGTAGGGATCTGTTCTGGGACCTCTGCTCTTTGTGATCTTTATAAATGACTTGGATGAGGACGTGGAAGGGTGCGTTAGTAAGTTTGCCGATGACACAAAGGTTGGAGGAGTTGTGGACAGCGTGGAGGGCTGTTGTAGGTTGCAACGGGACATTGACAAGATGCAGAGCTGGGCAAAGAAGTGACAGATGGAATTCAACCCAGAAAAGTGTGAAGTGATTCATTTTGGAAGGTCGAATTTGACTGCAGAATACAAGGTTAATGGCAGGATCCTCGGCAGTGTGGAGGAACAGAGAGGTCTTGGGGTCCACGGCCATAGATCCCTCAAAGTTGCAACCCAAGTTGATAGGGTTGTAAAGAAGGCTTTCATTGGCAGGGGAATTGAGTTTAAGAGCCACGAGGTTATGCTGCTGCTCTATAAAACTCTGGTTAGACCACACTTGGAATATTGTGTTCAGTTCTGGTCACCTCATTACAAGAAAGATGTGGAAGCTTTAGAGGGGGTGCAGAGGAGATTTACCAGCATGCTGCCTGGACAGGAGGGCAGGTCTTATGAGGAAAGGTTGAGGGAGCTCGGGCTTTTTTCATTGGAGCAAAGAAGGATGACAGGTGACTTGATAGAGGTTTACAAGATGATGAAAGGCATAGATAAAGTGGATAGTCAGAGACTGTTTCCCAGGGCAGAAATGACTATTACGAAGGGGCATAATTTTAAGGTGATTGGAGAAAGTTATAGGGGAGATGTCAGAGGTAGGTTCTTCACACAGAGAGTGGTGGGCGTGTGGAATGCGCTGCCGGCAGTGGTAGTGGAGTCAGATACTTTAGAGACTTTTAAGTGACTCTTGGATAGGTACATGGAGGATAGTAAAACGTAGGGCATGCAGGGTAGGTTGATCTTAGTAGGATAACAGATCGGCACAACATCATGGGCCAAAGGGCTTGTACTGTGCTGTACTGTTCTATGTCCTATGAAAGAGAAAAGATCCCAAAGTGAATTGACAGGGTGGATCTTGTGGGGGTGGGGTGTGAGAGACTAGAATTAGAATTCTGTTTCGAAATGAAGGCTTTCACCTTTAAAAGGAGGATTTTCTTTCCTTTCAGTCATTGTTCTGTGGAATTGTCTTTCATAGACAGCAGCATAAGCTGTGTCATTGAAATTTTTCAAGGTCAAGTTAAATAGAAACTTGGTAGAAAAGGGAGATTCGAGGGTCATGGGGTGGGGTAGGCTAGAGTGTCAAGTTGAAAACACAATCACGTCAGCTAGATCTTACTGAATGGCAGAACAGGCTCACAGGGTTATATGGCCTACTCCCGCTTCTAAAATTTATGTTCCTAATGTCCTGGCCAACATGTGTCCACCCAACAAATAAATCGTTTAGTCATCTCACTGCTTCTTGTTGAATTCTGTTGTGCGCAAATTGGTGACAGCATTTGCCATCAGCTTAAAAATAAGTGCATTTCTATCTTGCTTTTCATGACCTCCCAAAACACTTCATTGACAAATTCTCTTCTTCCTAACTGACAAACGCTCAAAATGACAGACTGAATAAACACTGGGCATAGAAGTATGCACCAATATGACATCAACCACCAGTTGCAGTAGTTATCTTTAGTGGACTGCTGCCCCCAATCCAGCTGATCCAAATAGTACAACTGCATTTCTAATTCAATAAACACTTAGACTATGCAGTTTGCTAAGAGTTACAGCACTGTCTTATGTTAGTTAACAAACTTCTCTGAAGCTTCTAATGATGAGACCAATTAAAGCTGGTTTAAATTTCTAATGGAAATAGTACAACTCACCTCCTTGATTTCAAAGTTCAGCTGAACATTGACAATGTCATCTGACACACCTTTCATTATTTCCAGATGATGGTCTGCTGCTGAGCTTTCAGTTGCCATAGCTTTCACAGGCTTGGTTGCCTCTGTGGAATCTTTGAGTTTTTCTATTTTTACATTAACATGCAAAATGTTAGTAAACCTAGTCTTCCAGCAATGCTGGAGAATTGCATTTTCTTAAATTAATACGCAAAGGAGCACTTACAAGAGTGACTGATTGATCCATTTAAATGAAGTATTTATTTTAAAACCTTTGGCCTTGATTTTAAATAGGTTTCCACACACCTCAGCTGAAACAGCTTCCAGTACTAGCACATGTGAAATTTCCTGATATCCATCGGGAAAATACACTCCTCAAAAAGACACCATTGGGTGACAGCTTATGAGATATTCCAATTGTCACAGAACTTCGACAAAACTCCATGAATTTATAAAAAATCTCAGTCCCCACTGTAAAATATTCCATACCCTACAAACTGATAACAGCCCGACCTTTCAACAGCACACCTCCACTTCAATCTAGGAAATGAATAAATGGTGAAGTGCCAGCTTTCAGCCTTTCATAAAAATCTGGATAACTGAAGCGGCAAGGGGCAGTACGGCAGCTCAATGGTTAGCACTACTGCCTCACAGCGCTAGGGGCCAGAGTTCAATTCCAGCCCTGGATGACTGTCCATGCAGAGTTTGCAAGCTCTCCCAGTGTCTGCATCGGTTTCCACTGGGTGCTCCGGTTTCGTCCCACAGTCCAAAGGCTTGCAGGTTAGGTGGATTGGCTACACTGTTTTACACTGTCGTGTCCAGCGATGTGCAGACTAAGTGGACTAGCCATGGTAAATGCAGGGTTATGGGAATAGGGTGGGGGGGGGGGGGTGCTGGGATACCCTTCAGAGGGTTAGAGCAGATTTGATGGGCCGAATGGCCTCTTTCCACCCTTAGCGATTCTATGAACTGGCATAGTTCATAGACAGGCCAGGGAAGATGCAACTACTTGCTCCACAAGCAAAAGAGAGGCAAAGTTCAGGCTGTGACTCCAGCCATCCAAGTCAGACCATCACTCATCAAGTGAACTTCTGCCCTGGGAGATCTGTTCAGGCTGGCATCAAAGACCCACACTGAGATGAAGCCATTGAATGGATCAAACTAACTTCTGTCCCAGCCATTTTAAAAAACTTTAGATTATTTAACCAAATACTATTTAACGACAATTTTTTTTTTAAAAAATGTGATTTCAAAATAAAGACATTTAAATGATTTTGTCCACAACTTTCCACAAGAAAATAAAGATTGCAGCTCATAAACAATGATGATTTTATACTTGACCAAAAATGAAACCAATAATGTGTTTCAGTGCCTGCTTCACCTAAGGAGAGTTTTTGAGTGCACTGTTAAATTGTAAAACCAGCGAAATAGTGGAGATCAAATCACTGAAACAGAAGTGTGGAAATCAGCTTAGCTCCCTCTCAATTTACAGGCATAGATATATATTTAGAGAAAACGCTCAATTAAACATGTTACAAAATTGCACTCTTTTCAACTCAAACATGACAAAACGAGTTCTGTGTATGCATTAGGCAATTAAGTGAGGTCTCTCAGCAACGTCATTCCTTAATCAGATGTTCAGATTTAGGTCAAATGTTTATCAGCTTGTGCACAATTGTGGTACCAGAAAGTAAAGGGAAAAACTGTGTCATCAAGAAACAATCAAAAAAAATACAACTGTTCTTAGGAGAATGCACAGCATTAGAGATTAAATAAAGGCAAACAAAAAATTGATTTGGTCAAAAAAGTTTTTGTAGGTCGCTGGTTTTCACTCATGCTAATGTTTTATGATTTCAAACACAAGATTTAGTAGAAATTATATTCTTCGTCAACTGAATGACTGTCCTTACTTTTCACTTCATCCTTAAGAGCTTTTACTGCATTTATTTCTTTGCCGCCTTCACCAAAATTTTGCTCAAAGACCTTCATCAGAACAACTAGATCCTCTTCGCTTAAAACAATCTGAAACAGGAAAACAAGTAGCAAAACAGAGCAGTAAATAAAAGGAAATATAAACAGTAATTGCAATCAGCTTCCTCTGGTGTAAAGTTTGGGAAATACTGGGAAGTAAATTTTGCTCGTCCTCCCAGATACTAAAAAATGGTAGCATAAGAAATAGAAGTAAGATTAAGCCATTCATTCCCTTGAGTGAGGTCTGTCATTCAACAAGATCATGGCTGATCTGGCCATGGCTTTACCCCAGTTATCTAGCCTGTGCTCCAATAACCATGATCTAATTCAGTCTTACAATCATTCACTGACCCAGCCTCTTCTGATATTGGCAGATAGAAAGTTCGAGAAAGATAAAACAACTCTTGAGCAGTAAAATTTGACATGTAGCATTGCATATCCAGCGAAACACCTGCCTGGTTTTTACTGGCAGTAACATCAGGTGGGTCTGCTCACCAGCGACCAAACCCACCCCCCCAACCCCCACCAACACCACATTTTCCCCGCCAGACACGCTAAACACTTAGAGGAGGCTGAACCAATGATTTATTGAACGCACAATTCTGGTCACCACACGACAGAAAGGATAAAGTCAGAAGTCACATGACACCAGGTTACAGTCCGTGAGGTTTGTTTAAAATCACAGGCTTTCAGAGCATTTCCAAAGCTCATGATTTTAACACCTGTTGGATTAGAACTTGGTGTCACGTGACTTCAGAATTTGTCCACCCCAGTCCATCACCGGAATCTCCACATCATAGCTACAGGAAGGATGTCAAGGCATTGGAGAGGGCACAGAAGAGGTTTAACACAATGATATATGGGATGAAGGTTTTTAGTTATACAGGAAAAGCAGAAATGTTGGCACTTTTCTATTTACAGAGACGGTTAAAGGAGAGAAGTGACAACAAAGTGCAACCTTATGACATAATTTGATCAAGAATATGGAGGGAAACTACTTCCACCGCTCCTAAAAGAATTACAGGAAAAAAATGAGGATTTCACCCCTGGACACAGTATGGTTCAGATCTGGAGTACACTATCTGAAAAAGAGTGGTGGGAACAGATCCTAAAGGAGCATCGAAATGATACTAAGTAAAACAGTCCAGGTTAGAACAAGCATGAAAATGCAACACCATAAAACATACTGTTACCTACATTCATGGTCTTTAAATCTCCTTTGATTTCCACATTCGGGATTTTGAGGTACCAGGCTGCTGCCAAATTTCTTTGCACCGTTAGTTGCAAGTTGATGGGCTGCAGCATCTGAATGTCAAGTTGAGGTGAACTGGTGTGCAGGATAGTCCTGATTGAGAAATGTAGGTGAACCAATACAGCATAGAGTACAGCTCTTTATATAATTATATCACGTTAAAGTAATAATCCATTTTTTTTTCATACTGAAAAGATAATTGCTTTAATTTGTCTAACTCCCTGCCCAAAGAGATCATTAGGAAAAGATCTGAAGCACTTCAAGATGTGCTCTAAATGGGCAAGTGGAATTCAAAATAATTCAGTGCAAATACAGGCAGGTTTACAGGAACAGGAGTAGGGTTCTCAGCCCCTCAATTCTGTTCTGGCCTGCTACTGGATCATGATTCATCTTAAGGTGAAACTCTATTTACATGCCATTTACTAATGGCCAATGGAAAATGATTTGAAATTCCACAAAAGTTAACTTATTGTGCATTAATGAAGCTAGTGCTTCCTAAATGTGAAACTCAACATGTAACGTAACTATTTAAATGCAATCAAATGACTGCAATGATTGCTTAATAGTCCAGTGCAATTTATTTATTAGAAACATTTTTAACTAAAAGCAGATAGATCAAAGTCACTGGACCACAAGATGCAAAAATTTAACTTTACCTCGAAAGTTTCAGCTGTGTTAGATGAACATCCATGATGTCCAATACAGGTGGTAACGAGAACCCTTCATCTGGGATCAAAGTGAATCTATTTTGTACAGTAATCAAACCCAAATCTGCCACAACAGCATTCATAGAGATGGAGGACTCAGGGATAATAATAACCGGAGCTTTCAAGTGAATGTCCATTGCCAGTCGGAAACTCTTCTGGGCAAAATCCTTAACGCTGGAGGCTGCTTTTTCTGCAGCTTGTGCTGTTGCTGCACTTAATGCTTCCTCTGCTGCTTGGAAGTTGTTGAGGAAGTTCTACAGTAAATATTTAACAACAGTTTGTCTATACTCAAGGCATGATCATTTTCAGTTACATATATTTGAAAAAATTTTCCCTTAAGTAAATTTAAGTCAGTGGCTTAGAATTAAGATAGGTGACAATGTGACACTCAAGCCCATGAGAAATGGTTGAAGCATTTAAGGGGAAACGTACAAGACCATAAGACACGGAAGCAGATATAGGCCATTCAGCCTATCAAGTCTGCTCTGCTATTCAATAATGGCTCAGTTAATAATGCTCAACTCCACTTTCCTTCCTTTTCACCATAACCTCTCATTCCTTTCTTAATTAACCATCAGTCTACCTCAAGCTTGAATACACTACATGATCCAATCTCAAATCCCTCTGTAGTGAAGTATTCCACAAGTTTTACTACCCTCAGAAGAAACTCCTTATTTCTGCCTTAAATGTATGATCCTTTACTCTGAAACCATGACTCTTGGTCCTAAATCCTCACACATCTACTCTGTCAACTTCCCTAAGAATTTTACATGTTTCATTAAGGTCCCCAATCATTCCTCAATATTTCAATGAGTAATGGCCCAATATAGTTAAGAAGGTTTCTAAGACAGCCCCTCTATCCCTGGTATCAGCCTTGCAAACCTATGTGGCCTCAAATGCCATTTTATCTTCCTTGGGTAATGAGCCCCATATGAGGGGGATCAGAATTGACGGTTACATTGGTAGGTTTGGATGAGGAAAAAGGAAGGTGGCCCAGATGGAGCATAGTCACATAAAAAGACAGGAGCAGAAGTAAGCGATGCAAGATCAGAGCTGATCAGCTACCTCAATGGCATTTTCTCAAACTATCCTCATTCTCCTTGACATCACAAATATCTAGAAATTTATCAGTCTTGGTATTGGTCATATATACTGTATGGTATGAACTGGGTGGACTGAATGGCCTGATTGTGTCATATAAACTGTTTAATTTTCGACTAAAAAAAGTCATTTGCCATTGCAAACATCCCAGTGGTGACTGAAAGACCCATTGTGGTTCAACCAGTGTAAAAGAATTAGACTAACCAAAATCAGAAAACGACAGCTTTCAGAGTCAATTAATAGTAAGTCACAACCAGAAAATTGGACTACTTATTCACTAATCATCAAGCTCTTTTATACGTCAGTGGTGCACGTGCAGATTCTTACATGAAAAGAAGTAGTACTTTCCAAATCTGTATGATTCCCTGAACAAGCCAATTAAACTGAACCACAAAAACAGTACTTTAGCAATTAAAGTGTGGCCCTAAAGCTGGCAAAATCCAATCTGACCGGAGTAGTGACGATAAACCACATTCAAACTGATTATCTGTAGCCTCAAAAGGAACACACCACCTACACTTTAGGCCCATCATTATACGTGAAGTATTTCATGGTATAAAACTCCTGCCCACAGATAAACAGTTCATCCACTAAATTAGCTGAGTTGAGACAAAGTCAATTTTCAATTTAAAAACCTTGCACAAAACTGAATTTTGTCTGATTTAAAACAGCTGTTACCTCATTTTTGGTAAACTGGAAACAAAATTTAAGACAGTATCTTTTACATTACTAACATGTTCTCTCCATGCTATACTTGCAAAAACATTGAACTATCCAGCACTCTCTCATTCAGATGCCAAGAGTAAAAAGGTTTTTTATTTATATAGCAGTTTTGCCACCTTCAAGAAACCCCTTGGTTCTTCAAAACTAAACAATTTCTTCCTGTCAACACAGAACAGCAGAAAATAACAACATAAGAAATCAAGAAATTGCGTTCTGGACAAAATAAATTGGTCGGATGGGGTTACAATGGGGAAAGTTGCACTTACACTAAAAATCCTGCTTGTATATCATTTTTCATTATTTAACACACTTTTTTAAAGTTAAGTGTTAAATTTGTACTGATCAATACATTCAAATTAACTTTAAACAATAGACTTACCAATAATGACAAAACAAATTTATGGAGATATATAATCTGAATACAGCCAACTCGCAATGTGATTTTGCCATCCACCTTTGACATATCAACATAGGTCTCATCATCAAAACCGTTCTGATACAAGGTTATATTAAAGCTGAACACTTCATTTCCAACAATGGAAACAGCCTTGAAAAGGAGGAACAACAATTAATTCAAAATAAACACTGCACTACAATTTTTTTTATTTTCCAACAAATAGAACTTGCAAAAACAGAAATTGCTGGAAAAGTTCAGCAGGTCTGGCAGCATCTGTGAAGAGAAAATCAGAGTTAACGTTTTGGTCCAGTGATGGGTCACCGGACCTGAAACGTTAACTCTGATTTTTCTCTTCACACATGCTGCCAGACCTGCTGAGCTTTTCCAGCAATTTCTGCTTTTGTTCCTGATTTGCAGCATCCGCAGTTCTTTCAGTTTTTAAATAGAACATGCAGTTAGCTTCAGAGTGCCCGGGTAGAGATTCCTATCATTTCTTGATGAACAACACTCATGTATGTTAATTCAGGTACTCACTCTAAGGTGACTTCAGCAAATCTAGCAAACAGGTGGCTGTGTGGTACTGGAGTAGTTTCAGGCTAAGGGGTTACAGAATTAAAAGAGAGTCAAGGAGAAATTACTTCTCTCAAAGGGTCAATAATCTGTAGAACTCACTATCCAGAGCACAGTGGATGCCAGAACATTGAATGAAATTAAGGAGGAGATAGGCAGATTTTTAATTCATATCGGGTTGATGGGTTGAGAAGAGTGGACAGGAGAGTGGACTTGAAACCGAGATGAGATCAGCCATGACGTACTGAATGGCAGAGCAAGCTCGAGGGTATGAATGCCTACATCTCCGCCTAATTCTTCTTGTTCTCTAATGTAGCACTCTAGCACCAGCCAAGAGCGCAGAGTTCAAATCTTACCCGAGGACTCAATGGTCACAGGAGTTGTCAGAATACCATCAACTAGAACCATGTGCTAGCTGCAATGCAACTGCCTCCCCACATTAAAACACTCCATGTTTAAGTTCTTGCCATGAACAAGTATCATCCTCATTTCAAGGAACTACCAGAAGAAGAGGGGAAGACAGAAATCTAGAAAAGTAGAGATAGCAAGAACTGCAGATGCTGGAGTCAGAGATAACAAAGCGAGGAGCTGGAGGAACACAGCAGGCCAGGCAGCATCAGAGAACAGGAACTGGCGTTTCGGGTCAGCTTTCCTGTTCCTCTGATGCTGCCTGGCCTGCTGTGTTTCTCTGGCTCCACTTTTTTTAATCTAGGAAAGTACCTTTTTATGTAAAGTCTTTGAGTCAACATCAGTAACGACGATATCCCGGAGTCTGGCAGAGACTTCCATCTGCTTTGACTGTACTGAAGCAGATGCATCCAAACCTGCATGGTTAAATAAATCATACTGAAATTATTTCATTTAATTACTCATTAATTAATTCATTTAAGTGAAATTAGGTTAATAAAAAGTCATTCACCATACATTTCAAACTTTGTATTGACAGTACAGTATCCGAAGGTATAAAAATAGACTGGAAAGGCTGGGACTTATTTCACTATGCATGGTTAAATGCAGTAAGTTGAGGGATGACCTTGTAGAGGTTTATAAAATCATGAGGACTATAGATCAGGTGAATGACAAGGGTCTTTTCCATTGGTTGGGGAGTTCAAAACACAGGGGGCATATTTTTAAGGTAACAGGGCAAAAATTTAAAAAGGACATGGGGTGCAATTATTTATTAAACAGAGTGGTTTGTGTGTGGAATGAACTGCCAGAGGAAAACGATGGATGCAGGTACAGTTACAACGTTTAAAAGACATTTAGATAAGATCATGAACAGGAAAGGTTTGAAGGGATATGGGCCAAGCGTAGGCAGGTGGGACTAGTTTAGTTTGAGAACGTGATCAGTGTGGACTGGTTGGACTGATGGGTCTGCTTCCATGCCGTGTTACTCTATGACTCCAAGTGCAGCGAATATACATAGCCCTTTAACAAATTTACGTATGTGAGATGTCAAAGTACACCCCATTAATTTTTCCAGTACTGGAAGGAGTAATGGGGTGTACAGTCACAAAAATCCGCCTTTTTTGCAGATTTAACAAGCAGGTGCAACAAAATTCTCAGGATGTTAATTATTTCACCTAGCTACAAATTTAAACTCATTTACACTTTTATGTGAGACAAGGTGCAGGGCTGGATGAACACAGCAGGCCAAGCAGCATCATAGGAGCAGAGAGGCTGACGTTTCGGGCCTAGACCCTTGATGAAGGGTCTAGGCCCGAAACGTC